GAAGATGATAATGGTGGTACAATACAACAAAGCTGGCTTAGATGCCTACGTTACGTAATCGTGTCCTTGTAATCCGAGCCGACTTTACCGTTAAGCAAGTTAATTTACTGTTATTCTAGTAAAGTTAAGTCACTTATCTTAAGTGACTTAATTCCTTTAACTAGCTATAATTGAGTGGTTCACGTCGAACTTTTAACTAGTTAAGTGGATGTATATCTAGATAAAAGTTCGACGTGAACCAAGCTTATGAGATCCTCGGTAACGCACAGCGTCATGAAGAGTTGTGATTAGGGGAAATTGAGAAGTTCTCAATGGACTTCATCCTTGTACAAAAGTCAGTGATCATTAAGAACGTCTTTTGTGTGTTACATGTTGGGCCATGTGGGCCTTGTATTCAAATTTTGAATAAAGTTTGCTAGATACAGTTTATTTAAAGTAGCCAATACAATGCCTTAATTTTTTTGGGGAGAGAGGGGAGCCTTTGTTCGGCCCTCCATTATTGGGTACATACGATATTCTATTGTCTTTATTGTTTACAAATTTTGCCGCCGAATATGCCCTAAATGGTTATTATATCGCTGTTATATTTTTGAAAATGAGACCGAATGCAAAGTTTATTGTTCTTCTGTCCTACATGGGTAATTAAATATCTAAGTAGCGTTACACGTAAGTATAATGTTACATTAATATTACATTAAATTACATTACATACATTACGTTACTCATGTGATGGTTTTCAACATAACCTAACCATGCATAATTTACCTATTAACAGTGGTTATGGTGATGCTAAGGGTTCTAATTATCATTCTTTAATATCCAATAACACTGACGTTATTGACTTTTCCAGACATTGGTATGCATTATTATTTAAAGAAGCCCTGGCTATTAGGCGCTTAACAGTATGTTCACACTTTATCAAGATTGATTTTTTAAGGTATGCTGTTAATTCGTCAATAATACGTCACACCTTGTTTGCTTTGATGGTCAATTTTACCAGTTTCTCGCTTTTGATTGGTTAGTTAAGTTAATTCTGGTATGTGGTCTCTATGGACAAAATTATCTTCATTCCTGATGATGTTCGAATAAGGAACGAAATATTGAATCATGGCTTCTCTTAGTCTTTATGGAGTCTGCATGATATTATATTACACATTACGTTACATTGCATTACATCAAACCATTACCACTCTCTAACGCTGCGCGCTTCATTTGACGATTGCTTAGCAATATCACTATTGGATTGATAGCCGCCAAACTATAGGCAAAGATAGTAGTCACGTGACGATAACTGGACAGAACTAATGACGTCGAGATGACGTTGAGATTCAGCAGCAAAAAGAACAACTGATCTTGACCCCAGCAGAGAACAAAGAGCAAAGACAAAATGAAGAAACTGGTAATGTCACTGGACCTGGATAGCATCGTTAGTTCTGGGTAGTTGCCAGAGAGGATTGTATCAAGAGCATAGGCGTCACTTTTCTTGGTCTTGTTTCTGATTCTGTAGTAGCAAACCGCGTGGAAGATTGTAGGGATGACGTACAATGTCAAGAATATGAAAGCACTGAAGACTTTGAAGTTGTTCGTGGTAACCCATTCAACGGTACAATTGTCGTCATCAGCTGACACAACTATCACTGCGGCAAGGTTCATCAATATAGCCACAATCCAGATACACAGGATGACAAATCTGCTCAGACGGTTGCTCTTAGTAAAGTAGCGCAGATGACGCTTTGGATGAACAACGTATACATAACGATCCAAAGTGATGCATGTTAAAGAAAATACACCAGCGATATTACCAATCCAAAATAACATTGGGTAGAAAACAAAGAGGCAGTAGAGTGAACCCATGCCATCATCAGGAATGTCACTTAATTTTGGGTATGGAATTATTCCTACCGATGACACGAGATTTGCAAAGATTAAACTCTCCAGAAAACAATACACAGATTTTTGTTGAACGCCGGACATGCGACGTCTTAGGAACAAAAACAACAACAGTAGGTTGAAGATAATTCCGCATGCCGCGAAGCAGATTCTGAACATGAATACTATATCAGGTTCGCTATACGTTTCCCCTGTGTTTGAAAGGGCCTGCTGGTAATAGCTTTCGTCAATCAAGTGTTCCATACTAAGCTTATTTTAAGCAGAATTTCGTTTGAAAAATTAAATCCCAAAAGTGGCTGGAGATATCATACACATTGATAGGTAATCTGTGTCTGTGTTTACTGTTTGTATACTCTAACATCAAAACTTCACAAAATATTTGAACATTCACAGTCAGTCCACTAAATTCGTGAGTAATGAAGGTGCCATTTAAAGTTATCACATAAGTACTGTGTAGTAAACTCGGTCTTTAAGCCAACAAGTAAGATCAAGAAGATAAATCTATCCGAATAGTCAGAAAAAGCGCTAAATATCTGCAGATAATCTGTTTATCGATTTCTAGGCGCGCACCAAAACTGTATTCACCTTCCGTTGTTAATATTTAAAATAAACTACTTTACTGCAGCCATGATTCTTTTTGTATGCAAGCTATATTCGCTTAATAATTTTACAGGGCAAAATACAAAGGAATATTCAAATGCAAAATTTTAGAACCCTCACATTTTATATGATATGAATAACAATACAAACCAGAGCTAATATATGAGATTCTAAATGTCATATTTGTCAGCTAATTGCTTATCATAGTAACAATGGTATTTATATAGGAAGGTTATAAGCATCATTAAAACGATAACGAATACGTCATCAGTTATGTCATCAATTTTAGAATAGTTGAGCTAATCCTCATTTTAGCTGTGACAGAAATTGCAATTTCAAAATGACATATTTACTTTTTGAAGATTAAATCTTTATATTGCACATTAATTACATTTAACCTTTAGGGATATAATTGAATTTCATTCAATTCATCATTTCATCATTTCACTTTACGAAATAACATTTAACTCAATATAGTTCATACAAGAATGCAATGTCATTGTCACCGGTCTCTGTTATATTCTTGACATGTCTCAACAATTTAATTAGAGTAGGCTTAGCTATAGTTATTCTTAACGGTAAAATGCATGGGACTTCGACATTTGCGGCAACACGTAACGTCCTGTTAAATTATTCGAAGTAGCACGTCACCAACACGACAACGTCTTACCTTTGGCAGTCAGTGTGTGCCAGCGGCGTACGCTGATGAAAACGGGCCCCAGTCCAAGATTAATTACTGGACCCTTGATATATAAAGCGACCGGGGGCTTGGAGCCGTCAATTTCCACCTGTAGGGTAGGGGAAGCTCTGAAAGCTCCGATGTTTCAGATTTTCAGGAGCCGTATTAGAATTTAAAGAATCAAAATTCTAAGACTAGGTATACTAATTCACGTTTCGGAAAATTCATCGCAAGACGTGCTTCTTGTTCTTTTACCGCCACCCCTAATGGCCTAGGCTAGTAATCTAAGTGGTGGATCCAGGAATTCGTAATAGAGGGGGCCGGAGCCTAGTGAGGGAGTTTCACAAAACGCAGATAAAAGGTTCACCATGAATGGGGCTGAGGTAAGAAATTTAATGATTATAATGGCACCTCTAGGTGGTCGGAAATGGCACTCTCAGACTAAATTTTCTTTTTCTTTCAACCTTCAATCTGCCACTGCTAATGATAGTCGGAACCTTTGTAACTATTTCAGGGGGCATATGTATCTTAGCAGCTAGTTCTAAGACTAATCAAGAAAAATCGTGGCACGTAAAATTAAACAATTGAAGATAACACAGTAATCAATAAGCCTATAATTACTCCTCTAAAATCCAAATATTTGCTTTTGTTGGTTTTGTTTAAGTTTTAAGTTAGATATGATTTTTAATTATTTTAGGCCTATTTATGATTGGGCCCCTAATAGTCCTGGGTCTCAGTGCTTTGCACCGGCTGCACTGCCCATCCCTACGCCACGGGTTCGTGCGTACGTCTATTAATACGCGCTGTATCGCTATAGCCAATCATTTATGATAGACAGCTTACGGTGTTATTATATGGTGAATGTATGCGGATTCTCTAAATGATTAACGTCACCTAATGGGAATAATATTTTAAGGCGACAAGTCAATAGTCATCCACTAAATTCATGTTCAGCACATTCGTAAAATTCATTTCCAATACAAAATTGGAATTATGTATATAATACGAAAGGAGAAGCTTTTGAACTATTTAGCAGTGCCGTAACAATTTTCTTATTAACGATTAAAAAAAAAGTATTGTTTTGACTAAAAAGATAAAAACACAGAAAATATCGGCAATTTATTTGTAATAGGGCCTTGGGAATGTCTACATGAGTATGCGACATTAAAATATACAATTAAATATAACTTTATGACATGTAACTCATTATGTAACGTCGCAGATTTAAGAACCTTAATAAATAGAAACAGAATTGTGCAAGTTTGCATGTAGCTTTCTATTTTGACTTGTTTTAATTTTTAGCTTTTTTTTTTTATTAATAACTAAACCATGTTTAAAGTATGTGAATCACAATTTTTCAAAAAAAAAAAATGTATTATTAAAACGATTAATAGACTACCCCTTCTCCTACTGCTAATAATATTAAAACAGCACTTATAGTGCGTCATCTATTTAGTGTGCTATTCCGCGGGCGCAGTGACTCTTGACTACAAGAAAATGTATTGTAATTTTTTAATTTGATATATTGATTTCTTGGAAATTTACAAATTATCTAGTTAAAAAGCATTATATATTTACATTAGTTTGGTTAATTTTACAAATTATCTAGTTAAAAAGTATTATATATTTACATTAGTTTGGTTAATTGCAATTATTAATAAATTTAATAACAAAATCTGCAGTTCTAATTATCTACTTTTCTCCCCTTCCTTTTCTTTATTCTATCTATTCTCAACTCTTTTCTTTTCTTTCATTTCTATACCTTTTACTTTCCTCTTTTTTATTCCTTTTTGTTTCCGTTCTATCTAATTTCTTTCTATTTTTCTTTTATTTTTTCAGTTCTCTTTCTTATTCCTGTCAATCTTTTGTTTTCCTTCTAGTATTTTATTTCTATTCTTTTCTTTTACTTCTATACCTTTTCATCTTTTTCCATATACTCTTTTCCTTCTCAGTTCATTTTCCCTTTCTTTCATCTCTTTTCTTCATTTGTTTATCTTTCTTGTTTCTTTTAAACCTTTCTTTATTGCTGAGGTAATGGAATAATATCCACATGGATAGGGCCGAAAGTATTATTTAATAAAACAACAATAACAATAATAATAATAATAATCATTTTATTCACGTCAACTCGTGCGCACTGTATGATGTTCATAATCTGCATAAATTGGAACCAATTTTATTTTTAGAAGGACATTAGTGTCGTCCACGTATGTACCTTAATCTCCTCATTAATGAATCCATGTACTTGTAAAACAATGCTATTCGGCGAGATTATGCCGCACTACAAAAATCTTTTACTAATCCTGCTTATAAATCACATTGCTATTTCGGGATTAGTACATGGATTAATCGCACGTATCGAAAGAACAATTACCTCCGATTATAGGTGTGTACTGAAGATCAATTTCGCTGTCAACAATAAGAGTTACATTAATACCTGCCCTTCAAACAAATCGAAACGGTTTGACTCAGCAAAGTGTAATTTAAACTCCCCGGTGCGATGTTGAACTATCTGAGTGTTACAGTTACTAGCTTGTTGGTTAAGACTTCCATTTTTACGACAAAAACAACTGTTCTCCCAAAGCTTCACAAGACGCAGTCGTGTGAACTGAGCAAAAAGATGAACAAACCAAACATCTATTATTTTTTATCAAACGTAAGATGTGGGAACTACGGTATTCACGCTGTTTCAAGACAAAAGTACAATAAACTAACGACACTGATTGAAAAAACACACAACTAAATTAATGTTTAAACGGAATGATTTGCTCAACAATATACACTTTTCCATATTATACATTTTATATCATAATTCATATGTTTCATAAGTTTCAGCTAAATCTACGTTATCAAATTCTCATGCGACACAGACCAATAACATAATACATTTAAGCTGATTTTAGGAAAGCCTACACTTGTTGGCAAAAATGGATCTTAACTTATAGAGGCTAGGACTAGAATTTTCCAACTTCTATTAGCCTAACTGCCGAACATGAAAAACCTGGTACAAATATGCCATTCCACTTCAGGAATATCTGGCTGTTATTAACTGATAAACAGTTGACTTCGCTAACTTACTCATTAGGGATAGATAGGGGGGTGGGTATGGGAGTGTTAGAGAAATCTAAGTGGTGCTTTTTGATTTATAGTGTCACTTGTTATTTAACTTAATTATTTTACGTAATAACAGGCTACTTATTGTAAAGTAGAATATAAAAAATGCAAGCTTACAGTTTAATTAAAGTTTGACATTTTTCAGTGAGTTTTAAAAATTCCATGGATACAATTGTCTTTAACTGCCTTCTGCAGTTTCCAGTTGAAAGTCGATTCCTCATTGAAACATACAAATTAAGCAATAATTATTTTATTATAAGTATAGGTGTTAGTTTGCCTTGAAAGTGAATATGTTTACTGTTACAGCTTTTCATTTACTTTATACACTTCCATAATTCATGCATGTTACCGTTTTGGGTTATAAATTATAGAACGGTAAAATACGCTGCATCTAGTCGGTAAAATGTTGCCTGCCAATTCCAGTGACCGGGCTCAAATCTTGTGACACAGATTTTTTTTCACACAGCTCATCATAAAGCATTACTTCCATCCTCTAAGTAAGCATTACTTCCATCCTCTAAGTGGTGAATTACTAGCTGTTGGATGAGAAAAATAATTATAATAAAACGAATGTTGGGGCTAAGTTGTGGGGAGGAGAGAGGTAAGCTCCGGGCTTCAAGTAAAAGTTTCGTTAGTATATTAGAACCTGACTGACCGTGGCATACGTGTCACAAAAAACTAAATAGTCACGGCAATAAAAATGTCACTACAAACATTACGTTAATTTTATTTTGAATGTCAGCATAGATATAGAAACAAATTACGGCAACTTCAGAAAAAAAAATCTGCCATTAACTCCTAAAAGCGCTGTTAAAATACCTGTAAAATACAATTCTGATATACCATTAAAATTTGCCGTAAAACTCACTAGTGACGAATAGGCTTTCTGATGATGATTGATTGTCGCAACATAGAGCTATAAACCAGCTCTATAGTCACACAACCTACCGTCGAACTTTTGGCTAATTAGCCTATCTGTAGAGTCCTGTATACAGTGAGATCGTCTTCATAACGTTTGGTATCAACATGGCCTTATTTAATCTGTTGGCGTTCACTGACGTCAAAATTAACTATTTATAATATTAATTATTTTTAGAGACAACAGAAACCAACAACTGGGAAATAAATCAAAAATAGTGAGAGTGAAAATCATTTCAGAAAAATGACGAAAGATGCTATAATATGTGTATGTTTAATGTATTCAAGACTATAGAAATATAAATTGCATTCTACCAGCACGGATACTGTATAAAGTAGCACCCAGAATTAAAACTCACTAAATATCGTTCAACCTAAAGAAAGTTTAGAACT